ATATTGTTATTACTGGTAATGATCAGGATGGTATTACTAATCTGAAGCAACATCTCTTTCAGCGCTTCCAGACTAAGGATCTGGGCAGATTGAAGTATTTTCTAGGTATTGAGTAGACTGGAATGATGGGTTGCAGACCTATTGATTCTCCTATGGATCCGAATGCTAAGCTTCTGCTTGGACAGGGGAAGCCTCTTAGAGACCCTACGAGATATAGGAGGTTGGTTGGCAAATTGAATTACCTCACAGTGACTAGACCTGACATTTCTTTTCCGGTGAGTGTTGTAAGTCAGTTTATGGATTCTCCCTGTGATAGTCACTGGGATGCAGTTGTTCGCATTCTTCGGTATATAAAGTCAGCTCCAGGCAAAGGATTACTATTCGAGGATCGAGGCCACGAGCAGATTGTTGGGTACACAGATGCTGATTGGGCAGGATCACCTTTTGATAGACGTTCTACGTCTGGATATTGTGTTCTAGTAGGAGGTAATTTGGTCTCGTGGAAGAGCAAGAAACAGAATGTAGTTGCTCGATCTAGCGCCGAAGCCGAATATCGGGCCATGGCTATGGCGACGTGTGAGTTAGTTTGGGTCAAGCAGTTGCTCAAGGAGTTAAAGTTCGGAGAAATCAGCAAGATGGAACTAGTGTGTGATAACCAAGCTGCTCTTCATATTGCGTCAAATCCGGTGTTCCATGAGAGGACTAAACACATTGAGATCGACTGTCACTTTGTCAGAGAAAAAATACTTTCAGGAGATATTGTTACAAAGTTTGTAAAGTCGAATGATCAACTAGCAGATATTTTCACTAAGTCTCTTACTGGTTCTCGTATTAGTTACATGTGTAACAAGCTCGGTACATATGATGTGTATGCACCGGCTTGAGGGGGAGTGTTAGTTTATAGATATGTATAGTGTAGTCTTGTCCCACATTGGAAGAGGAGTAATATCTCCTTGTAGTGTATAGCTATAAATAGGGACCTCTTGTATTGTATTTATTATCAAATATCAATAATATATTTTCTCCCGTGCTTTCTCACAGTAAGGTTCCTCCTTTGTTTCTGTACTAATCCTTCTGCAGTTTTCTGAGTCATGGACAAATTTTATGCAATCTACACAAAACTTTGGCCTCCAATCATATGTCACCTATTGTGTATTAATCAAAAGGGAGAAAAAACTCCCGTATACAAGAAGTATACCAAAAAGTAGAGAATTTACATCAGGACATGATTCTCTACAAAAGACGCCGCCCAATCTTCTACACAAGTAGGGGCTATATGGGTGCACTAAAAAGCGATCAAAGATAAAAGACTAATCTTAAGATGTGAAAAAGGAGACTCAATCCCCTCAAAAACTCTCTTATTTCTCTCTCCCAAACTATCCACATGAGAGCTAACGGGGCGAACTTACACTCTTTTTGCTTGCTTCTTCTTCGGAAACCGGCCCAGCTATATAGCATTTCCTTTACAGTGCTTGGCATCACCCATTGAACGCCAAAAAGATTCAGGATTGTCCTCCACAAACCCGAGGACACAGGGCAATGCAACAAAAAATGATCAACTTCTTCCCCTGAGCTTTTACACATGTAGCACCAACTAACAAGTATAATTCCTCTCTTTCGCATATTTTCAGCAGTCAAGATCACTGCTCTCGCCGCTAGCCATGCAAAAAAGCACACCTTTATGGGCGCCTTAGGAATCCAGATCGAGGAGTGTGGAAAAGTAGCCTCCTCTCTCACCAACATACTCTGGTAAAAGGACTTTACGGTGAACAAACCATTGCCGCGCAACCCCCATCTCCAAGAATCACAAGATGGATGGGGCATGTCCTGCCCGTATAGCAGTGCCAACAAATCTTGGAGCTCCACAATCTCCCAATCTTGCATGTTCCTTCTAAAAGAGAGGTCCCATACTACCCCCTTCATGCAACCTCATCATAATATAGTGGTAAAAAAATAAAATCTCATCATACTTCATGATTACTTTCAATACATTTTACTCTGTGGATCGGTATTTCAGGTGAGATTTCTAAATTTGTGGTCAGGAATGAATAGAGACAATCATGACCTTCAAATTTCTGAATTCTGATGTTTTCTACCTTGTGAATATTGTAGCATTTGGGGTAAATTTTACCTTTAATAGTTATATTGTGTTGTTAACCTCATACCCGAGTCCTAATTTCTATCCTAGATGTTAAAATGCTACTTATATTGCACTGTTTGAAGCATTGCTTTGTTGAGTCTATTAAATCCAATGCACATTTCGAAATGTGATCCTCCTTAAATTCTTTGTGATGCAGGAATTCTTCAAATAGTCAAGAATCCCTGAAAAGTAACCCATTGGGTGAAACTGCGTTGAGGCAAATGAAAAAATCTTTCTATACGAAGGTTCCTCATTCATATATGGAATATATAGGAAATCTTGCAGTTGAGACTCTTGGGCTAGAATATGGGGAAGAGAAGGAATTATACTATGTTAAGGTATTATTTTCATGCTTCTAACAAATGTAGCTCTCTTTATGTATTGGTTCTTTTTTGATAACCCTTGTGTTTGTAGCTTTCCGATAACTTGTGCTCTGATTTAACTATCGCCTGCAAATGTACGATAGCCAAGGATCAGAAAAGAATTCAGCTCAATAAGGTTAGTACTCAGTTCCGCCCCGCTTCTTGATGAAGAATATAATTTCTTGCACGATGCCTAATTAACTGTTTACTTCTAGCTTTAATAAAACAACATTTAATCTTGTCATGAACATATTTACCTCCTCTACTTATATTTTTTCATTCTTTACTTCTTGCAGCTTGTCTTTTTCTAACTGTATTTTGACACTACGCTTTTTCTTTTAGATTGAGGCGAACCAAGTACGCCACATGGTTGCAGATATGAGCTGTCTTGGAAAGAGTTCAGACCTGAGGTTGATGCTACATACCAAGAAAATCTTGACCGCTTTATCTGTAAGTTACTTCCTCCATTGAGGATTAATTTTTCTGCGTGCTAGAATCGATCAGTATATTAGTTAGATCCAAGTCCTCCATTTGTTTGTCATTTCTTGCTATTTTTTACCTTGTTAAGCCATAACTCATATTTGAAAGTTCCGTCCGATGTTTGGATTTATATTTTTTGAACATTACTGAGAAACATCTCCATTCAATTACTTTTGGTGCAAATTTCTTGCTTTATCATGTTTTGTGGCTTTGAGGGAGGGTTGAATGTTTCTTCATGAAAAAGAGAACAGTAAAGTAAATTGCATGTTGGGCTTACCTTATAGGCTTCAGTAGGTTTAAAATGCTCGAATACAGGTTTGATTTACACTTGGCATTATTTTTGGAGTCCTCTAGTTGCTGGAATGAGTTAGATACGAATCATTTATAAAATGATACTCAAATGAGGGAAACTAGAAAAGAGAACAAGGAAAAACGAAGCTGGACACCACAGTTATCTAAAAAAGAAGAGGAAAAAAGAAGATACAGAGGCAAAAAGTAGAAATGAAGATATTCTTCATAGGCCTTTAGCCTTATGGTCTTTTAATGAATTTGATTTGCTTTGGCATCTCAAAGTAGCTACTATTATCTACTAAGATTTAAGGGCTTCCAGAGCCCAATCGAAAGTGAAGTTATAAACCAAGTAAGCAGAGTTCCTTTTGGTGGAAAATGAGGTGTCTTTTGACGTTTCATCAAGCTCATTAAGTCTAATGCCATTATATTTTAGAAGGATATCGCTTCTTATCAACAGGGGAAGATCTGCGGTACAAGTTACGGGTTCGGCTGAACCCATTAGCTTTGGCCCAAGGCCTGTATTTGTGTTAAGAAATTTACTGCATATGCATAAATAATCCATCTCGAACCCAGTAAACTATCCTGTCCTGGAATTCAAAACCTGTAACCTTAAATCCCAGATCTGCCCTGCTTGTCAAAAACATTTAGTCAGAAATTATGTATAGAGTTAAAGTCTAGTTTCAAGCTTCTGAGAAACATATGCTTTTTGGATACTGCATGATTCTGCCTTTCCGTTGATAGGATTTTTTTGGCTACTGTCTTATCTGATTCTCTTTTGTTGGTATTTACAGTTTAACAGTTTCAAGTCTGAGCAGCCTTATTAAAAAGAAATGTCTGAGCAACCAGCCTTATTATTTCCAGTATGGTCTATTGAGGATAGGCAGAAGGTGGAACATTTTTTTTTGGTGAAGCAATAAAGATAACTTGAGTAGTATTAGACGCAAACATGAACCCACCATTGCTTAATCAAGTACTAGTTGACCAGTGCAATGTGCAATAGATATTAGTTGACAATCTGATCAACAAAGTAGTGAGATTAATGCTACTCTTTAATTTAAACATTAGAGGGACCAGAACTACATACATTGCTATTTCTCAACCAAAACGATGTCAAAAAGGTGGAACAAATTGGTCTTCACCTATGGCTCAACTCCAATTCCTGGTCCCTATTTTGGCTTTTGGGTACAGAATATGACGAGCAGGATAGCAAGATCTATAAGTACATCAGAACAATAATCTCAATTTAGGAGTAATATGGGTTTGTAAGTGTGATTTATAAATGGCAAAGCCAGTTTGCTTTAATAAGCAGGGGATGGAGCAACAAAACTCATTGACTTGACGGAAACGGTGTGATTCATTTGCAGTTTTGGTGGACATTTTAACTCCACCCCAGTGAACCAAGACCTTTTCATGTGTTGCTGATTTTATATGCATTTTGAATTTTCATCTATGACGCCTGCACTGTTTAACTGAAAGAACACCAGTAGTGGTATTTGTGTAGCTAAAGAGCAAGTCTTCTGATTTGAATTACTCTTTGCATTTTTCCAGGATGAGGAGATCAATGGAATTAAAAATCTTATTGGTTCTGCCATTTTGGACTCAGAAGTTAAGGGTGGGTTGAGATGGCCCATTGGCAAGGATTCTTCAGGGGGTCGATATGCTGTAATTGGTGTCTGGCACACAACTGCAAAATCATATGGAAATCCGTCAATACGGTTTAAGCTTCGACATGCAGATCGATTTGATTTCAGATCTTCAACTGGTGAGGTTTCATGGGAGACCAGCCTGAAAATGCCTGGGATTGTATCTCAATTGCGAGTAGGTTTTCATTCCCTGACGACCATTTATGTATACTTATTTTTATTTGGATCTCTGTGGATAATACATCCGTGTGTGCTTGCAATTGGTGTGATTTACACAAAACCATATCATAGTATTCTTAGAAGTTAGATTTGAACATTATACCGTGTTCCCACTTACCGATTACATCCACCGAATTGGGCAAAATATCATCCAAAGCAGCTGGAGCAACACAAATTTACCGCCAATCCAAATCTAGTTGATTTCTTTGTTGGAAATTATTAACTTTTTGTATGTCTTCTGAGAAGATTTGTTATAGCTGTACAACAGCTTTAGGGAAGATATATTTCTGTAAATAGCTGAGATGATTTTTCCATATTTATCCTAGGAAGATCAGATATGATATGTATCCCTGATTTGTAGAGATATCGCTTGCTGGCTTTATTTGTAATCTCTGTATATAAACCCCTAGTCTGTACATTGTGAAGATGAGAAAGACAATACACCTTTTTCTTTTCCTTTTAACATCTTCAAAGATATTACACTAAAAAGTTATAATTAAGATTTACTTGCTCATGTTAGCAAATGGTTACGTAACTCGCATGTGCCAAGGAAGTACAAACAGAACCATGCAGTGTCTCTTCATTGTTGAATTGATAAGCATTTGTGTTTTATTTTCTGAATTGACCCTGCACTGCTGAAATAATTGAATTGATTTACATTGTCTAACCAAAAATGCAGAAGCAAACAATCGATGAAAAGCTGGTGTTGAAAATGCTTGAAGACAACTTGAAGTTAATCTGGGATCACTGTTTGTCAGATGGCTCTTCAAGCTGACCATGTTTCGTGGTCCTTCACTTACTTTTTTGCAAATATCTGCAGAAACTGCTATATGTACAGTTGGTGAAGAAAGTTGACCTTTTGAATTGCAATGCTGGAATATACAAGATGTATATTTTTGAATTAGTTACTAAAGTTTACCCAAAACGCTGAAATTGCTTTTTGCACTATGTAGTTTGTGTATGGAACGATTGATGCAAGGCCTCTGATGCTAGTGGCATCACTAACAGCTTGTTTGCATGGTTGTTACCAATTGTATCGTATCGTATTGTTACTTTAAATACAATGTTTGTTTTGATTGTTACTTAAATTTTATTGTTTAAATCCATTGTTTTCGTAACGACGAAAAGTGCCACTTAATGGAATGACGGATTTGGTATGGTGATGTCATTTCTTTGATGTTTCTCTCATCTTGCCCTTCCTTATTATTAAATAATCATATTTTATCATTTATCCTTTTTTTATATAATAATTCTACTCCGTATCCTATTTAATCTTAATAATATTGCAAGTTTATTCTTCATATTGTTGGTGCGTGACATCATGAAACGACGACAAACGATAGTGAAACGATATGTAACCACAATCCAAACAAGCTGTAAGGAATATCGGATGAGATTGTAAATAGTTCTGTTGTGAAGCCGTAATGGATAGAACTTCTTGTTTGAACTTACTGTTGAGTTGGCACATTAGATTTCACTTGATGTGGAAAATGTAAATAGCAGACTAATTCATTGAGGGAAAACCTTAGTGTTTGCAAAAGCAAATAAATGCAAGACGTATTGTGTAAAAACTTTTATCACTGAACCATGGTTAAGTTGCATTATTAAAATTAAATTATTCTATTTGATATAAACACAAAGTGCGGACAAGTATTTATTGTCTACGTGTTACCACATTGTTTCACCTCTATTGGGCCCCTTAATTCATATCACAGATGCCGTTACAAGCACTAATCTAATTACGTAGATCAATGACATTTCATACTCTTCGAATAAAATCTGAAAGCACCTTTCAAATTCTTTCCTCCCTTAATAATAGGAGTAATTAATCTTGTGACATGTAAAGATGGGAATTGAAAAATGATATTTAACTCTTGATTTTCTATAAAGTATTAAGTCATGGCAGTTGAACTAACAATCAATGCTACGGCAGGTTAGCAACTTACTCGCAGTATTTTTACTGCTCTTTAAATGAGAATATGGAAACTTTGATATTTTAGAATACCATTGGGCACTGGTAACGGTTTAAAAGGAGAAGAAATATATTATTATGCTTCTGAAAAAGAAGCAATACATGATGTATAAGCAATCTATTCCAGGCAAAAGAATCAAATACAACTATACATGTAGTATATATGTTGATAGTTTTAAAAATACTTACCTTAATTTCCTTATTGGTAAAGCACGCCCAAAAAGTTTTTCTACCTCAGTTGCTTCCATTTTAAGTCCATCCAAAACATCCATTTCTTCTTTGCTCAGCTCTCTTAAGAAGTTCTCTTCATCTCGTTGGAGCTCTTTAAAACCTTCAAACAGTTTACTGAATAAGGTGACTTCTTTATCTCTCACCTTCTCTACTTCTTCTTCTATCTCCTCAACTTCTTTTATGATCGTCCTTTCTCCTTCTTCCACTTTCTTCTCCAACCTCTCAACAAGGGGAGGTTCAGGGCCACATGTATTGTCTGTTTTTATGAATGTGTTGAAATCACGCCCAACTTTTTGAGCTGCGGTTTGCAACTCCGGTATAATGCTTTCAGGCAAAACTGCACTTCTTGTGTAAAGTACAGAACCACCATATCCATCCCATGCATCATTTCTGCCCTTATAGTACACAAATATGTAATCCTCTGGACTATTTTCTACTTTGGATGACAAAATATACCTGCAGAAAACATCAATTCACATGTTTATTAATACACAGAAGAGGTCAATTGCAAACCAAGTACAACATCAAGGTCCAATTTTGCACACGAGATATAGAACGAATTTCAAGATAGGATTTAACAACTCGTCATCTCATGCCAAGCCTAGATACAAAAGCGGAGTCAGGATTTGAAGTTTATAGGTTCGAGATTCTATTATTTTTAAGTTATTGGGTTCTAAAATACTAATTTAGCAGCCATATTGGGTTCTTAAGACAAATGTAGGGTAGGGTAAAGACCAAAGCTACTGGGTTCGGCCGAACCCGTAACCGAAACGGAAGCTCCGCCCCTGCCAAGATATTTATCTATCAGCATGGTTTAGTCCGGTATGGAGACATGACGTCAAATAGGTATTAAGAGAAATACCAGTCATCTTGGTAGTGAAGATACTCATTATCATGATTGTAGAGTATCCCCGGATACTTTGGATCTTGCACGAATTTTTGCACCGCTGATCGAGTAAAAAATCCTCCATCAGGTGTACGTATTCTCCAAGATAAATTCCCCACAAGTTTGTTTTCTTCTGTATGGAACTCATGCAATTGGCAATCAAAAGCATCAAAAGTGGGATTCAAACCGCGAGTAATGAACCATTTCCCGCTAAAATCTTTCATGTCAAACTTCTGGACAAGAACACTGGGATCAGGTACAGGAAAGTCACCAACATCAGATTTACGAGGTACACATTTCTTTCGGGAGACTGCACACTCATTGAACTCGTCTACGACACTGTTTTCAAACAAATCACCACATTTTATCTGCAGAATCACTCCAGCATATTAGTATACTGCAAATGTGATCACAAGAATAATGAGCTTAATAAGAAATTTGTAGACACCTGACATTCCGTTTCGTCAGGTCTATTGTTGCAAGTCTGGAGACAGGCAACATTAGCTGCACATGCAGGGTTCGAAATGCACTTCGCAAGCTCTAACCTGAAAGCATAATACTTTTCTTAGTCTCCCAAGAGTGCTGACACACATGCTGAAATGAAGGTTAGAAACTCATAATAACTAATATAGCATTTCTCCTTCATCTCACATCAGAAGGTGGATAACAAAATAAGCACACAAGTCACAACTAAACGGATTTGAAGAAAAAACAGAAAGAAAATATAACAGAAAAGCTGCTAGAATATCAAAGAGCCATAGATTAAGGATTAGACAACGATGTTAACTTAGTTTAGTTTTCAACCATTGCATCCTTTGGGATGCAAATATTTTAGAAGGGGTATCCAGAAAGTTGATTAGGTAATATTTGGTTTCCTTGTTTTGCAGAGAAAAAATAAGGGGCAGGTAAGACAAGGAAAACAATTGGGTTGTTAGAAGTTTTAGAGTAAAATGAATTTCATTTTAAATATTGACTTATTCAGCGAGACAAATTTAGCTGTCTTCTGGGGTCCAGGGATTGGCGAAACTTTCCTGTATCCCTAGCACAGCAACACATCAGTTATTTTTACAACCATAAAATAAAAAAAAATAAAAAAAAGGGAACAAATGGTTTGACGAAACTTGTTAACAAGGCAAACTCATACTACTATTTTCTTGGCCTAATTACATAACAGAAAATCTAAGTCTCACAATCAAAATGGAGGTAGAAGGAAAAGCATTATGGTTGAGATTATGATACACTTTGAACATGCTTAAAACTTGATTTCTTTGATTGTAACAGCGATTAGAGTCGAGGAGTTATGGACGGTTGATCAGAAAATTCTAGAGACAGTTTGGTCAACCTGACATCTTCCAGGGTGAGCAGGTTAAGATAAGATAGCACCGCCAAAACTGAAAGCTTTACATCTTTACCACTTCATTCTTAAGCCAGGATGATAATCCCGAGAGAACAAACAAGAATCAATTTCACATCCTTATATTTATACATGGGATAGCAGAGATCAAGTTCGAAACTCATGTACGAAACATACAAGGGGTAGCAAAGCAATCAGGAAAGCTTTAAGTTGTTTACTGACATCTTCTTATCAAATTCAGTGTTTCGTAGAAAAAACTAGTCTTGATACTTGTGCAGCAAAATATATTAATAGCTTAGTATAAGGAAAAATTCCGGCATACTTTAGTAACATCTGCACGAATTACCTGCACTCTTTCAGTAAGCAAGTACAAGTCTTGAGAGCATCAACCGCATCAGCTTTTGAAGCAACTGACAAAATGAATATAGCTACAATTGCTGTTTTGGCAAATTGGCCCCATTTCTCCCAAACCATCAAAGCTACATCTTTTGGAAATTTGCATCCTGAATTTCCCTAAAAGAGGACTTGTGTTAGCAAAGAGAAAGAAGAGGATGAAAAGAATGCAGAGACAGAGCTAGATCCCGACATTCCCTTCGAAAATAAGTAGTTAATGATAAGCAACAGCATGAAATCCAAGAGTAAAGATTTATCAAAAGTCACCTTAGGTACATTCTGGTTAATGCTATGTGCGGGAGAGAGATTGTGTTTCCCGTGTGAGAATAGTTGCAGACCTCTTGAATCCAAACCACAGCATATTCTAGGAGATTTTCGAAAGTATCTAGGTATCCGTCTGCTGGAACAAATTTTTGCTACGACTATACTACCAAAGTAATCTTCCCAACCCCAGCTAAACCTTTTATGACCGGGAAGCTTTGACCCAACATAATATTTGATGGTTTCATGGTTGGCCAGAAAATTTGAATGAGGGGCAAGAGCCATTCTTCAACCGTATTACCACCAACTGCAAACTATAGAATCAAAGTATATCAGATTATGCTATCTTCTACTCCGTATATCTTCTTGAGAACAATATCTTCATTTGACACATTAGGTTGATTGGTCTTACTATCATATGCACAGCCAAAACTTTTTGGCAAATTCACAAGTAGGTAGAAGAACAATAATACAGGAGTGGGATTTGAGGTCAAAAATTGATATGGAGATAAATTTTCAACTCATCAAGATTAAAGGTTGATCCATTGATAAAATGCTTGAGAAAAAATTGTAGCTACAATCCAGAAACATCTCAAAGATAAAGACTGTTATTACCTCTAGCAGCTAAGAGCATATAATTAAAAATAAAAATAGTGGCGAAACCGACCATCCCCTTTAACCAAATTGATACCAAAAAACTACATTCCATCTCCTAACGCTTTCTATGTTGCTCCAAATATCGATCAGTTAATTAGTCTCCAACAGCCCGGAGCTTGTTACAAAAGTCAAATGGTTTGAATTAACATTAGAGTAATCATTCTATGTTCAAGGGACTAATTTTATTGGAACAAACAGATTTTGATGAAACCCACAACAAAGGCTAGTTTTTTTTTTGCTTTTCTCTATTTTGTGGATGAACTCTATAACAANCGTATTTAGTAAATTACCCTACCTATACAAGTTTTATTTATAAAATATATACATTCCACCTTAAAAGCTAAAACTTATATATAATATATATAATAGGTCAATATGGGGAGTGGAAGACAGCACCGAATCACAAGGGAGCCAAAGTGTACAGAAAAGGTTAAAAGTATCTTTGGCCAAAACTTACTTCAGTTTTCTTTTTCAACATTGAAATTGCATCTTCACAAAGTTAAACATGCACAAGCATATAAAACTAGCATCATTGGCAGTACCGTTTCTTGCATTTGCACCCAAAGAACCAAAGTGTAGAATGCTCTAAGCTAAACTGAAGGGCACATATACAATATAAGTAAATGCAGAATCATATTCAATCAGTAAAAGACCAATAGAAGTGAATATAAGTAAAAATAACAAACCTCATGAAAATAGATTGAACATTGAGTATAAGGAGTGTTGCTTGTTTGTAGTATCTTTTTTTTTTCTTTCTGAATTTGGGCACTTTATTAATTAAGTGAGCACTAGTTTGAGTGAAGGGGAAATGGATAAGACATTTTGTGATCATTAGCTTGCAACGTCACCGCTTTTCTTCGTTTCTGCATTTCCTCTTTTTTGTTTCCCCCCTTCTTCCTTTTGGATGTTTTGGCATTTGGCACACCTTACACATGGTCCAAAATTTTATACTTAGCTTTTCATAAAATATCAGAGGTTTCAATATTCACTTTTTTTTAATGTAGAGAAACTAAAGTTAAATAAAATAATTTCAGAAATATCTACAAATATCCTGTTGTGGCTTTAAATGTTATTTTATCTTTTTGTTATAAGTGAACGTGACTGACTGAACATACATTTTCTTTTTTGAAACTTATATATAAAATAATATTTGTGATTATAAAATCATATTATTTATATAATTAGAAATTTAACTTTAAATATAAAAAAACTATGTTTGAACGGCTTTTAAAAAGATGAGTCAAATAAAATAGAACGAATGGATATACCCAAACCTCGAGACAATTACTCAAATGGTCACTCAACTATTCGAAATTATCTATTAAACTCATTTTTCTTTTATTTGTAACAACAAAATCACTTAACTATGCCTATAGCACTCAGAAGGTCACTCAACTAAATTTCTTAAACTTTTAATTGCCAAATACCTATTTTGCCCTCTAAATTAACAACTTTTGCATTTCATTTTACTTTTTAATTATATGAATTTTTTCTCTTTTTAATTTAAATTATGGACTTCCCTATAGAATAAAAATTTTTAAATATAATGTTGGAATAATAACATACTGAGCATAGTAAATAATTTAACTAGAACAATTTGTTCGTAATAACAAATTTGATGTTAGCAACAAAAACTCAATCATAATAATAATAATAAAAAAAAGCAACAAAAACTCAAAAATTTATTGACACAATTGAGAATGAAAGAAAATAAAAGTTTTTAAAATATATATTCTATGCATGTAATATAAAAATAATTATTTAAAATAAAGGTATTTTGATAATATACATTATATATTCTTGAAAATTATGCTCAATTACTTTATTATTCTGATATTATATATGCTAGACTATTAATTTTTATTTTTTTTAAAATAAAATTTATTTTTCTATAGGCAGGTTGATAATGTAGATTAAAAAAATAAAAAAATAATAATATTACAAAAGTTAACAAAAAATAAAAGTTGATAATTTAGAGGGCAAAATAGGTATTTGGCAATCAAAAGTTTAAGAAATCTAGTTGAGTGACTTTTTGACTGCTATAGACATAGTTAAATGATTTTTCTATTACAAACGAAAGAATGATGACATTACTAGATAATAATTTCGAATAGTTGAGTGATCATTTGAGTAATGGACTCTCGCGTAGATTTTTTATGTATATATATTATGTGTTGACTTCACTTAATTTTTTCATATGCTTACTTATTTATATTTTTGACTCCCCTTAGAAAACATTCTGGCTGCGCCACTGCCCAAACCTCTCTCGTATAAAAATCTTGTGATTTAACTGTGCTATCAATGAAGAAAACAATGTTGTCAATATATACTTGTCTAATATGATGTTATCACTAAAAAGTGTAATGATAGTGAATCAAAAGGATAAAGATTACCGTAATATGTTGTCATGTTCAGAAATAAATACTTTAAAATCAAACCTCACATCTTTTTCAATGGGGATATTTTATCGTAAGGTTACTTATACGACAGTCTCAAATATTAGAATAATTTAAATAAAAAGGTTATTGCTTAAATTTTTTCTGCTGCTAATATTCGGCCCTAAAACTTAAAAATAAGCATTTGCATATGGTTATATGAAAAAAAATAATTAGGAGAAGAACGCATAAGAGATCCTTCATTATATATTTTTCCATTTTAATATGAATTTAACCAAAATACAAATACTCTTCTTAATTAGGAGAAATTGAAAATATATGGTGGAGTCCCCTTTTAAAAAAAGGTTTAGTAAAAATGCCTCCAGCCTGATAAGAAACAAGCTTCAATATCACCCTTTAAACAATATCACGAATAAAATGGCGCCTTATGTTAATTTATATGCTTATATCTAGAATCCACAGGATTTTTTGTCTAACAGATAGCATTAATATTATCATAGGATATAAAATAGTCATAGGCAATTCAAAATCTTCTATTTGGTGTTTCAACTATAACTACTGAGTGCAACAATTTCGAGTAATAAATTATTTATNTATATATATATATATATATATATATATATATATATATATATATATATATATATATATATACCACTCGTTCTTTTTCTCTCTAGCTTGTCATGATTTGTAAAATCGATATAAAATCAAATAACATAGTACACGTCCTCTTCCTTCCAAGTTCAGGACATGGCATTTTTTAAATGGCAATGGCGAAGTAAGGAAGGAAACGGAAGTGCAGGAGTTTGACGTGAATTTAATTTTACTGTTTTAAAATTGTTATGGTTTAAAATATGATCATGACAAATTGGGATTTAGTAATGATGTGTCATTACCGTAACAAAAATTTCACTTTTTGATGACTATTATTCTCTAAAATATTAACACATAATTTAGTCATTTTAATGATACAAAGAATAGTTGCAACTTTACTAATTTTTTGACATTAATTATAAGAAAATGTTATTTTGTGACTTTACTGTTAAAATCTAGTGACCAAGCGTGAAAATAACCTAAGTCTTATCCTCCTTAAGGTTTTGTGTTCTAACAACCAATTATCTCCACGTTCATTAGTGTTCAGATTTAGGGAGGGTATGAAGTAATCTTTATGTGTATTGGCTGTAGTATGACATTACTGAAATTTATTAATGACTGAATATATATGGAGACACGAAGTTTATTAATGACTGAATATATACGAAAACACTTAAAGTTGTCATAATTTTAGACACTCAAGTAGGTCTTATTTTGATGAACAACCGTAGCAGACTCAAAGTGTACTAATCAAATACATTTCATTGGCATGGTTGAAAGTATGAGTTGTACCTATTTGGAGTGTTTAAATAAAGAATCGTAACAACTTTAGGGATCAAATACATTTCATTGACATGGTTGAAAGTATGTGTTGTACCTATTTGGAGTGTTTAAATAAAGAATCGTAACAACTTTAGGGGTCTCTGTATGTATTCAACCTTAACTAATACTCCCTCCGTCTCATATTATCTGTCATAATTCTATTGTACAGTACGTCCCTTAAGAAAAATCAATTAGGATGGGATTTTGACTACTTTACTCTTTTATTCATGTCTTAATATTTAATTTTTCTTCATTGGTATTTGAACAAAGTTAGGTGTTTGTAGTGTTCAAGGATAATTATTACTAAGGGCAAAAAAAGGAAAAATATAATTAATTTTGTCTTGAAATTCTAAAGTGATAAATAATTTGAGACAACTATTTTTCGTAATCACGATTGTTAATATGAGACGGAGGGAGTATTGTGTATGTGTTATCTTTGGCTATGATCTCCAGATGAGGAGATAATCTGAATTTAATCCTTTTCAAAATTGCTAAAGGATAATATCTTTTAGTTGTCAATAGAGGATTTATCAATTTTATGCAGCACCAACTGATTTTTTTGGTGTGTAACAAATATTGAACGGAAATACCTATGCATAGGGATTTGTGCCAATGTTACCATCAAACTAATACACTGTTTGCCAAACGTCTTTGGCCAAATTTTTAGGAGAAGAAAACGTGATTTTCGGTACGCACTTTTGAGAAGAAATAGCTTTTCCTTAAAATTACTTTTTTGAAAAACACTATAAAAGTACATTTTAAAAGTTTGATCAAGTATTAATTAATGTTCAAAAGTGTTTTTCAAATTGACTAGTTTCCGGTACGCGCGATACACATGTACCATATATCAATGTATAAATTATTAAAAATTACATAAAAATATTATTAAAATTATATTTGAGTTATAAAATAAAATTTAAAATATTTATGCCCTTGAAAATGATGAATATTAATCTTATTTAATCAAATAAAGTAGTGTATCGCCTAACTAAGCATGATAACGATGTAACCAAGATATATTTGAAAGCTTAGTGATGATCTATTATATATCTACTTCTTTTGTTTTAGTTTCGTATCAATATGATCGTCTAGGTACCATGTACTCTAGAGACGTCAACTATAAAAAGAAAAAAAATTAACGACAAATATATATATATATATATCGGCTATTATTTTTTGGAAATTATACTATGTAGATTTTCAAAACATATTTTTATGGACCACAAGATCTATTGGAACAAATTTTATACTTCATAAAAAAATCCATCGCGAATTCTATTTAGTGATGATAACGACATATTATCCAAATTCATGTTTGCTAAGATGAATTTTGTAGCTAATTCCTATTTTTAGTAAAATTATGTAATAAACTTTCTTACTAAATATTAATTTCTTTTTTTAACCAAAAGACAACTATTTTTCATCTATTTAACGGGATTATGCATTAAATTTTAAATGTTATTCCTAACTTGGTTATGTTTCCTCCTCAACAAATGATAAATTAAAATTTTTCCACAAATAAATGATTACTATTTTTTTCTACAATAATTACTATTTTAAAACCTAATGGTAGATATTCTTTCTAGCATGTTGTGGTAGATTCTAAGAGTGAAAAAGAAACGGATTAAACAATACCAAGCTTCTAAAGAATACTAATAATTAAAATCTTAAGAACAACAAATTGTTCGTATGAAAGGATTAAAAAGGAAAAATTGGTCCAGTGTGAATAAATACAAGGACGAAAAACAAAAGATTTACCCAAATTGGCGAGTTCCTTGTTGGAAAAGAAACTTTTCTCCTAATTTTTTTGTATTCGGTTTTTCGTGCAGCCTTATTAGGAAAAATATCTCCAATATAGAATTATATTGGGAACAAATTTATGTGATTTCGAACTCCTAAATATAAAGTAAGTCTTATGATTTTACAATTTTATCAAATATAAAATATATTTTTAAAGGGTAAAAAAGACGAACAACATTTCGCTAAGGACCTTCGTACTGGTTTCAGTGTACGTGCGATATTGCACGTGTGTTTTGCGTCTAT